CAGTATAACCATAAAAAAAAAGGACAGAGAATGGAGAGAGCATTTCTAAAGCAGAATAAGTATGCTGATCACCTCAAAGTTATTAGCCAGGAGTAAAAGAATATTGCTTCAAAGCAGATGCTGGAGGAGAGTGGGTGGAGGCGATACTAATGTTTATGTTGTTCATAAGAGGGAAACAGTAAGACAATAATCCCATAGGGGATTAAAGACGTTATATAAAGGAAATGATTACAGCAAAAATACAAGCCTTTATAAATATTCTTAAAAGGGGAGCACATGCAAATAAAATAGACCACACAATGAAAGTTTATTTATATAAAAGCATTGATATGTTTAAGTAGATGTGAGGGTGAATGTCTGCTTCACTTTACCTCTCTCAGCTTGGCTTCCTCTGTAAAAGATTATATGTATCATCAATCTTGAAAAGCAAGTGTGACAATTAAATTTATATAATATGATTTACGGTGTCCAACATATACTAAGTGTACAACCAAAGCAAGGTCACTAGCTTTGTCAGCTAGGGAGAGGCAAAGGCAGGACTTGAACCCAGGACTGGCTGGCTCCAAAGTTTGCTTTCTCTACTATGCTACTGAAGGCAGGATGTATCGAATGAGTGGCATAATTACAAGATTTTTAGAAGGAGGGTTGTGACAGGAAAGGCTTCATGGACGACATGGAATTTGAAGAAGCAGAGAATCCAGTGTAGGCAGAGGCATTAAGGCAGAAAAAGACACAGTGTCTTGGTAAGGGGGTGAGGGGTCTGTAAGCAGATCAATTTTAGTTTCTTAAACCAGTACTTACTGCTTTCATTCATTTTCCGAGAAAACCTGTAAATTACAAAGTGATAACCAGTTCCACCAGATGCATTAATTGACAGTATGGTTGAGGAGAGTATCTAAAGATGGGGCCTTGTATACTAAACAGGTAGGGCCTGACAGCAGGGACTGTGCTCTGACGTATACCCCCACAGGGCCTAGCACAGTGCCTGGCCCTTACACACTGCTTATGAAATGCTTATGAGGTGAATTAATAAGGTTAATAAGGTAAACAAAGTTTTACAAGAACTTTTCAAGTCTTCTCAGGTAACTGCATTTATTCACTTACTATTGGTATCATTTGGGATAGGTTAGGTTATTCTATAATAACAAACAACTCCAAAATATTAGCAGCTTCAAGCAACAAAGTTTCATTTTTTGCTCATGTTGTAAGTTCTTCACAGGTTGCCAGGAAGACTATGTTCATTGTAGCTATTCAGGCACCTGGGGTGATAGAGCAACTGCCATCTCAATTATTGTTGGCCACTGTGCCAGAGGAAAAGAGAGCTTTAGAGAGTCTCACAATGGCTATTAAATTACACCTATAAATGACACATGTCACTTCTGCTCACAGTTCATTGGCTAGAACAGTAACACAGTCATATCTAACTTCAAAGAGAGCCATCGAGTGTAATCCTATCATGTGCCTAGAGAGCAGAGGGCCGGAAATACTTGGTGAACAGGATGAATGACTATCGCATTATTTGAAAGGCAGGTAATGAAGCTCAATTTAGATAGGTTGATAGTTAGAAGTAAAAAACAGCGTACACTAATATCCCCTTTGTACAGTTGAGGAAATGGATGCACTAAGAGGTGGAGTTACTTGCTCATGCTAATCTGCTATTAAGTAGGGAGCTGGGATTCAAATCCACATTTGTCTGACTCCAAAGTCTTACCTATTGCCTCTCAGGCACTTAAGTATTCATGTGAAAAGCCTTTGATCCTGCCTCTTCCTCATATACTTGGAGATGAGGCACCATGGAGTCTCACCTTCACCCACAGATTTCATTTTACTGTCTCTGTATCATAGGCAGAGGGTTAAATCAGCCTTTGTAAACAACCTAGGCAGTACTTAAAAGAGAGAAAAAAAACATTTTTGAAGCCTGGATGACACACTTTGGTTGTACTATGTGGGCTTTCCCTCATGGATCGCCTTCTCTCTTCATTGGCCTTTCCACCGAGATCTGACCCCCAAGAGGCAGGCAGCAGAGTACAGCCCCATGCAACAGCCAACAAGGAGTGCCGCTTGGCTTCAGAGAGGGGACATTAAGGGAAGGAGGAGGAGCCTGAGCTTTCTTTTTAGTTTGCTGAATCTTTCACATTCTTCCCCAAGCCTTGGAGTTTGGTCATTAAACAAATAAATTAATAAATAAAGGTTCAGGTTTATCCTGGGGCATGTGTTCTCCATGCCCCATGGGGAGATATCATTCATGTGTTTTGAATTAATTTTTTGCTTGACTGTTGCACAAGAGACTTTGGATGTCCAAGGAGCTGTAAATGTCTTTTGTTTTGCCTTTGCAAATGGCTAATCACATTTTATCAAGAATTGGCAGCCTTCTTTCCTGGAAGGACTGAATTTGAAACTAAACAGGTTACAGATGGGGAGAAAGGGTTATTTGCCACCCCTCACCCCATATTTTTTAAGGCTATAAAATATCAAAGACAATACAAGTGAAGGTTTTGATATGAAAACTTTAGGAAAATGATGGCTTTGCCTATGATAGAGAGACAGTAAAATGAAATCTGTGGGTGAAGGTGAGGCTCCATGGTGCCTCATCTCCAAGTATATGAGGAAGAGGCTGGATCAAAGGATTTTCACATGAATACTTAAGTGCCTGAGAGGCAATAGGTAAAGACTTTGGAGTCAGACAAATGTGGATTTGAATTTAAAAATATTAGGGCAATTTGAAAACAAACAAAAAGTAATTCCCACATCCCTGTATGCTGTTGGGTGAGAGAGTGGTGGTTTAACATGATAGTACTGATGATTCAGGGACTCCCGTTAGTCATATGTTAGATCTTCCTTGCCTGTTTTCCCTTTTTTTTTTTTTTGCAGTACAGGGATTGACCTCTGGACCTTGGTGTCATCAGCACTGCATTTTAACCAACTGAGCTAACTGGCCAGCTCCCTATTTGTCACTTTTTAAAAAATCCTTTTTGGGGCTGGCCAGTTAGCTTATTTGGTTAGAGTGTGGTGTTGATAACACCAAGGTAAAGGGTTCGGATCCCCATACCAGCCAGCTGCAACCCCTGCCCCCCCCCCCCCCAAAAACCTTTTTTTTTTTTTTTCTTTTTTTTAAAAAAAAAAAAAAAAAAAA